GAAAGAGGCACATTCAGACACCTCTCTCTCTTAATAGAGAAGAAACCCACAAAACACTACACAGAAGTACCTGATATATCTTTATATCTAAGATGCTTTAATAAAGTGACAGGGAGCTAAGAGTAACAGGGAGGTGGAGGAATCCACACCTAGGTGAATGACAGGAAACTACTTTCCATATTACAGTTACTAAGAACAGGCCATACCTAGACTCTCGATTCTTGCTGCCAAAAGGGAAAACTTCTTAACCGCTATGAATTGTTTATCATTTTAGTGCTAGAAGCACTAAACGATATGTTTAAATTTTAAACAGCAACTGAGGAAATGTTTAGAAATTTTAACTACCTGTATTGAGTTCAGCAAACTTGACATCAAACATGATCAAAGTATTTATCTATAACTCTGTAAGCCTTCCTAGAATTCTCAAGTCTCATGCCTTTTTAACAGTGACAAAAATCCAAGATAAAACTGAAAAACATTTGCAAAACTGTCATTTGCAACAGTCAAAACAAAAAATCCTCAATGTTATGTTCTCTTGAAATAAGGAAAGGTTGTATTAGAGCTTTGAGACTAGGAGACGGACAAAGTCTTAATTACAGCTTGTCTAACATAGCTATCTCTGGGGAGAGAAAAAACAAACAAACAAACAACACCCCCAAAAAACCCTCATGTAAAAGTTATATTTGTGGCTATAAAATATTTCAGGTTAGAAATGTAATAAAAGTAATAATTTAATTATCCTGATATGAAAAGTTAATTCTATTCAGTATACAACACTGCCTTTACTTTAATGCCAAGAGAATTAAGAATTATTCCCCCTGCAAAAATACCTCTCAATTTTCCAATTAAACAATATAACACAATGACCAAAAAGTAAAAAAAAAATAAAATGAATAAAAAGTTCATGAAATATTCTTCAGTTTGCATTAAAATTATGTATGTTCAAGGAAAAACCCATCAGACTCAATGCAATATAGAATCATAGAATGGTTAGGGTTGGAAGGGACCTTAAAGATCATCGAGTTCCAACCCCCCTGCCATGGGCAGAGAAATCCTCCACTACACCAGGTTGCCCAAAGCCTCATCCAACCTGGCCTTCAACACTTCCAGGGATGGGGCAGCCACAACTTCTCTGGACAACCTGTTCCAGTGCCTCACCACCCACAAAGTAAATAATTTCTTTCTTATATCTAACCTAAATCTGCCCTCTTTCAGTTTAAATCCATTGTCCCTTGTCCTATCACTACACGCCCTTGTAAAAAGTCCCTCTCCAGCTTTCCTGTAGGCCCCCTTTGGGTACTGGAAAGCTGCTATAAGATCACCCTGGAGCCTTCTCTTCTCCAGGCTGAACAGTCCCAACTCTCTCAGCCTGTCTTCATAGCAGAGGTGCTCCAGCCCTCTGATCATCTTCGTGGCCCTCCTCTGGACTCGCTACAGCAACTCCATGTCCTTCTTATGTTGGGGACTCCAGAGCTGAACACAGTATTCTAGGTGGGGTCTCACGAGAGCTGAGTAGAGGGGCAGAATCACTTCCCTCGACCTGCTGGCCACGCGTCTTTTGATACAGCCCAGGATGCAATTTGCTTTCTGGGCTGTCAGAGCACGTTGCCGGCTCATGCTGAGCTTCTTATCCACCAGCACTCCCAAGTCCTTTTCCTCAGGGCTGCTCTCAATCCATTCTCCGCCCAGCCTGTACTTGTGCTTGGGATTGCCCCAACCCACGTGCAGGACCTTGCACTTGGCCTTGTTGAACTTCATGAAGTTCTCACAGGTCCATCTCTCCAGCCTGTCAAGGTCCCTCTGGATGGCATCCCTTCCCTCCAGCATGTCCACAACACCACACAACTTGGTGTCATCTGCAAACTTGCTGAGGGTGCACTCGATCCCACTGTCCATGTCTCCAACAAAGATGTTAAATACTATTGGTCCCAGTACTGACCCCTGAGGAACACCACTTGTCACAGGCCTCCACGTGGACATTGAACCATTGACCACAACTCTTTGAGTGCGACAATCCAGCCAATTCCTTATCCACCAAGTGGTCCATCCATCAAAACCATGTCTTTGATATAGACTTAGTTCCAACACACAACAATAAAAAAAAACCTCTTCTAATATTTTTACTTAGAAAAAGTTTTGTAAGTTGGACCAGGCTGGGAACAAACAATCATACCCACAGTCTGGAATAAGCAGAAGAATTTCCTTGGGCTAAGAAAAGACTAGCTGCTGTGCTCACCGTGGAGGAAATTGAAGTCAGAGGTATGCATTATACCAGGAAACTTGAAACTGAACTACTAATCAGAGGCTATAGAAAAGGAGTAACACCTGAACAGAATCCAAGTAAGGTCCTCTTCACAACACAGTAGAGCTTTCCTAAAACCAAACCATATGAAGAATGCATCTGGGGGGCGGTTAGGTGGGAAAAGGCCAGGGAAGAACTTACTGCTGAAAGCAACGGAAGTACAGCTAGCTACAAGCTAAGTTCACATCACAGCAGAAACAAACAACAAATAAACAGAAAGATCAGTGGCAGAGTGTGGTATTGGCTGGGACTATTGTTGGAATAAAATGCAGTGAAAGTTCTAACAAGCCAGGCCCTGGTAAAGTTATTTGATGCTCACTGGACCGAAACCTAAGTGTACTTAGAACAAAAATCTAACAGCCTTTTTTTTCCTCCCACAATAATGCTCTTTATTCTAATTCAAAATATTAAAGAAGTATCAACATTTTGACAAGGCCTAGTCCTCTACATATATTAAAATTAAGTCACTACAGACACTTCAGGAGGTTAAAGCAGCCTCAAGCTATGGAGAAAAAAAAAACCAAAGAAAAGGCAATGCTCTCCCACAGAACCTGTAATAGAGTAGTCATTGCATACCACTTTGCTGTCTCTACATGACACCATATCCATGGTGAGAAAAGGGTAGCATCTCTGGAGAAACAAAATCCACAGACACGCATGCAGCATGTCAGAACAGAACACTGAGGGTTAATCCTCCCTGGCATAGAGCAGGGCTACTGCTGTTACATCAAGAACTGTATTGGGTCTAAAAGAGGTGCACGAGCCACTTCTTGTGCAGTCTAGTGGAGCACAGACAGCAAGGAAAAAATTTAAGCTGGTGTGTGGTGTTCTCCAACTTTATGAAGACACCGTCCAGCTACCATATTCATCTCCTTTCACAAAAGGAGGAAAGGGTGATGCTATGAATTTGCTTAACAAAGCCTACCTCTAGCCAAGAAAACAATGATGAACTTTGTAGTGTTCAGTGATTAAGTACACACACATTTAGGTATATTTAAAGTATATCTGGTTGCATACAAGTCAACATTCACACACATTACATTTATATTTACATAGCTTAAAAAATAAAGTTTGTAGGACAGATTTTTCTCATAAATACTTGCTTCATAAACATTTCTGCTCTTAAGTCACAGATTTTGTTAATGAAAATATATACGAGTCCTGTTCCTGTACAAGAATCAAGAAGAAAAACAAGAACCAAAATATTTAAAAAAACTTAATAGTAGATAATTATATAAAAAATATCCTTTGAAAACGTTCATGTCCTATACCTAGGAGTTTATTAATTTACCTCTATATTTTCTGGTACTGCTAATAAGACAGTGGCAGCCAGTGATCCCGCAGAAGCTCCCGCAAAAGCTTTCACAACTTTCAGTAACTTCTTACCATGCCTGTAAAAAGCAGCTGCTGCCCCCAAGTGGTAAATACCCAGAAACCCACAAGCTGCAAATGACAGATTGATGTGTTTCATTTTTGCTGTGGAAATAAAAGTTTCACAGTCAGAAAAAGGATCAGTTAATTTTATCTTGTAATATACATCTATTCTTTTGGCATAGAACACATAATATACTCTATATAACAAAAAGCAGTTTATTTAAAACAGTAAAATCTTGATTACCAAATACATCAAACAAATAGCAGTTAGTTTAGCATCTCCAAAATTGAAAACAACTCCAAAATACTCCTCAGAACAAAACCCCGTTTCAATCAAGAAATATATATATATATAAACACACAAAATAACTGCACATTTTCATCTAATCTGTCAAAAAAATAAAAGTACCTACTCAAAAGTGATAAAAGAATGCTGCTGGAGAGCAGTTAGCCACCTGGAGTAAAAATCTAATTACAAAACTGCTGGCTACTGTGTCATCATACTCTCCTTACACACACAGAACCTTAAACCCAATATAATTGTTTAAGAAAGCAGTTTTTTCCTTCACCTTTGGAAGTCATTTGCTCACTAGTACTATTAGTAATCATTAATAGACAAATTCTTATTTCAAGCAATTTCTTATTTAAAAAAAACACACATATCATTGCTACTATTAAAATAAGAAGGAATAAAAAATCCAACAAAGTAAAATACAAATCACTAAATCTATGAAAACATAAACACACTGAAGGTGTCGAGGACAGAATTTAAATCTTACAAAAAACACAAACAGTAAGCATAAGTTCAGATCCATAGGGGTGGTTTATTAAAAAAAAAAAAAAGCTGTACGTTTTATTAGCTCTTCTGTTTCTGCAAATAACTAAAATTATGAGAGCAAGTTATTCTACAGATTATATAGTACAGCTATATAAGATTGTACAGATTATCTTAGTATTGAATTAAAAATAAACTCCTAGTATGTTCGGGTACACATCAGTTTGAATGGGACTGAAAAAAAACATAAATCCATATACTCAGAACTATACTTGTTTTTTCTGATTCATAATGAGATAGATGATGAGATGTTTCTTTTGGAAACCATCTACAGACACTGTGGTGTCAGTTCTGACGAAGAGAGGCAAACGTGTAGAGCAACAGATTTTGGTTTAAGTTGCCTCTTCAGCTCGGAAATAGGAAGAGCAGGAAAGGAGAGGGACTTTTTCCAAGGGCGTGTAGTGATAGGACAAGGGGCAATGGATTCAAACTGAAAGAGGGCAGATTTAGACTAGATATAAGGAAGAAATTTTTCACTCAGAGGGTGGTGAGGCACTGGTACATGTTGCGCAGAGAAGCTGCAGGTGCCCCATCCCTGGAAGTGTTCAAGGCCAGGCTGGATGAGGTTTTGGTCAACCTGGTGTAGTGGAGGATTTCCCTGCCCATGGCAGGGGGGTTGGAACTAGATGATCTTTGAGGTCCCTTCCCACCCTAACCATTCTATGATAAGAAACAGCTTTCAAAACCACTAGATAAGAAGACACGCTAAACTCAACTGCTTTACCCTTAAAATCATTAAAACCAGACTATTAATGGGTCTAACTAAGTTTACTATTTTCCTAAAAAAAAGCCAAACAAACCCCACAAAAAACTCAAAAACAAAACAAACAAACAAAAACAACAACAACAACAACGACGAAAAAAAACTGCAACAACACAGAAACAAACGAAAAAGAAAATAGAGCAACAAAAAAAAGCACGCATCTCTTAGTGCTAGGGCATACTGTTTGGTGCATCTATCATGATGCTAAAATATTACACTATCATAAGGTAGGTTACCTTCTTTACACTGGACATGCTTGAATATCCACTTGTAAGTATGAATACCTGCAACTTACATCTAACACATTTGTACTGACGGTTGGCTCTTGCTGTGGCAATAGGAGAGAAAGGAATTTGCAATGAAGCAAATGATAAACCATATTACTACTTTTAAAAAGAAAGGATCTTATAATTTAAAGAAAAACACCACATAAAAGACAAAAAAAGTTTACTCAAGATTTTTCTGAGAAAACAACAAACAATTCCACTTTCAATTTATTATTTTTTTTAGTAGAATGGAAAAAAAACTAAAATAGACTTTGAAATACAACGGAATGATGTGCTTGCTTTCAAGCTAATTAAACTATCAGTAGTTTAACCAACTGATGCAACTGTTTCGATACCTCCTACAAACTAGGAGCAAAGATGCATTTGCATCGCAGGCCACTCTGATCAAAAGGTGAAGCTGGTTAAAGCAATAGTATTATTAAGTAGGAAGAAAACAAGCACAGAAGAATTAACTCACATTTTTGTCTGAAAGAGATTTCAAGCTCAAGATACTACTAACATGAAACGTTGTATGAACTAAGGACCACATTTATGTAGTTGATTGGTCAGAAAATAAACAAGCAAAGTTAAGAGTTCACAAATCCCAAGAATTACATCTAAGGAACCTATGAAATATAACTAAGAAACACAAGTGCAATATAGTAAGCTTATTTAAATAAAAGCAAGCATATGTATGCTTATGCACATACATACACATCCTCTGAACCTTCTACAAGGCTCATCTACTAAGTCTTCTAAAAGGTGTCTCTCCCAGCTGGAAAATATTTAGACATTCAGAAATCAAAAAGAGATGAAAACTAAAAAGAGTATCTAAAGCATAGTTATGGCAAGAGATTTTAGATTATATTTTTAGAGAGGAAAAAAAAAATCCCTACAAATGTAGAAGACAATCACACTTCAATATATAAAGAATCAGTTGGCACATTTTCTCTAGGTAAGAGCAGAAATAGAGGTTATTTGAACTGAAAAGGTTATTTGAATTTCAGACCAAAGCCTACTGCAAATATGCTGACTAAAGTCAAACGTTCATACCTTCTCTTACAAGGCTTCATGAGGAAGTTTTATTTTCTTACATGATCTTTAATCCTATCTAATTATCAGTTATCATGAGTAACCACTGCTCTTTTGAGTGTCCGGATGCATGGCATTCACTCTTTGATGAGAGCTAATTTCTTAACACTTAGATCCCATACTTCTCATACTCCTTCTTTTTTCCCCTACCCAAGAGACAGAGATTATTGAATGAGTATTCACATCAGTTTCCTGACTGACAAAATGATTCAAGTCCAAAAAGATGCAATGCATGCAATCCAAAAACCAATTAATTTTTTTTTTTAAACAGAAGTACTTGATCCACTGCATTTGTATGACACGCAATACTGCGCTGTTTTATAGATCCCTCAAGAGAACTTCAAACCAAAAGTAGGAACAGCATGGCTGTGTTATCAAGCCACTACCTTCTTATTAATTAGGGTCAGTTCCCAGGTCTACATTATGTATTTGTCACATATACATGTAATTTAAAAATACTTCAGTACCAATGTGACTTGGCAGATGACATTCAGATTCAAATGACAGATCCACCGGCTACATCTAGCTGCATGACTGAGAAATGGGGTTTGCACACACATATAACAATCCTACAAATGGGTAAATAATGAGGAAAAAAAAAATCATTTTATTATAGAATAATTCAGGATGTCTCTTGCCTAACCTTCTTCTGCTCAAAACAGTGTCAGCTATCAGATCAAATCGGGTTGCTCTGGGCTTTATCCCGTTGTTAACTGAGAAATTGTTTAATGTTTAGCTCCTAAGTGAAAGCGAGTACCCGTTGCCAGGTGAAACAATCAGGTCTTCTTTCATTTGTTCCGATTATTAAAATCAGGAGAGTATTGCAAATAATCAGCATTATAGACAATACACAACAGAACATTAACATCTTCATTCAGCACCATGCATCTCCCTGCGGGGAGGTTCTGTACATTGAATTGAAGGCCTCTTAGAACAAATCTGTAACGGAGCACTTAATCTACAAAGATGATATAGATGAATAAGAACGATGGTTCTGCAAGGAACTATCTGTTTGACAGCTGCAGCTAAACAATGTTGTTTCATCTTTCAAATGAATCTGTGAGTACGAGGAAAAGAAAGCATTCTTTACATGAATGTCTGGTAAAATCAGAAAAGAAATAGGAATCCAAGATACTTACTGTTATAAGAACATAAACTTTCCCATTTCTTTTGATCCTTGCAAATATGTCATGGCAACACTTGATTTACAAGTTAGAATGGTGTGTTTCAGAGACAGTATGATTCAAAAATGTCTTTTGCTTGGATGATCTGGTAGATCACTGCTCTTTTGATCAAAAAGAATAGCAGGGTTTTAACAACTCCCAAGAGGACATACAAAGAAACTTAAAATTAGGTATACAGTATGAGTATTCTTTGTCAATTTCTTAGAGTATCAGAAATAGGAGAACGGTCACATCCAGACAAAGACTATTTTTTCAGCTGCCTGAGCAAATAGCAGAAATCTTGCTATCTTAGAAGTGGTATGAAACACCTGTTCCACAAAATTTCATAACAAATATTCTTAGAGGGTTTAACATAAGTACTGACTGGTAAAGATATTACCTATTAACTCAAAGTTATTGTATTGGCATGTGTTAAAAAATTTCAATGAACTGTAAAAGATGCATTAAGTACATTTCAGCTGGACAGTGCACACACTGTAGCAATACAATGTAAATAAGACATAGCAAATGCTTTGGCACTGCTTTTCAGAAATGTTGTCATCTCACACAATTGGTAAATTTCAAAATATAAACACTTCAACTGGCTAAGGGGATAGGTATGCTTCTGTTGTCTACAAGAAAAAAAAGAGAAGAATAAAAAAAGTACAAGAAGAAACTAGAAAGACACTGGGGCTGTTCGATCTCATTATTTCACAGATAATGCAGGAGCATTCAAGAATAAACATAAACTTAAGAGTGCTGTTTAAAAGATTCTTGCATTTGTAAAAAAGAAAAAAAGAATTCATCGGTGATTAGAAATATACTGGAGGGGGAGGAAGGGGCAGGGGGGGCGTTTCTGTTCACTCAGCAGTATCTCATTCATTTGTAATACAAACCTGCAAGAGAATGTACGTAAGGAGACAAGCCTGTTCAGCAGAATAATGATATAGTACAGTATAGCTTTTTCAGGATAGGTACTGTCTTCCTAATTGTCATGCACAAGAAATAGCACAACAGTTTCTCATACTGCCATTTCCTGAGCAATATAATTATATAAACAGTATGCATCTCAGTGTCTTAACCAATCATACCTACCCCCGTCATCTCATTTGTAAACAAAAGCTGAAAATGCCCAAAGCAACTGACTAAAAAATTTTTACAAACAAAAATTAAATATACATAGAATGCAAATGACCCTGGAGCACACGAGCTAAATGTATGATGCAGAACAGCACCTTTGAAGATTAGTTATTAGCTAGGAATGACAAAACAAGCAAAGTTATGGAAAGAACTGTTTAGCTAGGCATCATTGCTAAAATAAAGGCCATAATTTTAACTACTAACTTACCTGAATCAGAAATCACCACTTAAACAGGAATGTTTCATTGTTTTTTCACGTTTATAACAGGAAAAAAAAAGTTCACTATCATCACAGACTATTGATAGCCTTCAGTGAATTCTCAAGAAATTCACTCTCTCAGTCAAAAATAGGCTTACACAAAAAAATAACCCCCCAAATAGACTGCACCTTACTTAAGAGTCATCACAGTTACTAGCAAGAGAACAGGAAAACTAAGTTTTGCATGTATACAATCACAGGAAATAAGCATTGTAAAAGTCTGATGAAGTTGAAAGAAAAAAAATAAAAATAACAATCACACAAAATAATCAGCACACAATCCAGTCATTAAGACACTTAGGAAGATTACATAAGTCTTTGAAAACTATAAAAATTGTGTATAATCCTCTTAGAATTAAAAAACCAGAATACATCTTAATTTGTAAGTTTGTATCACCTTGTTCATTAACACAAGACACCTAGAGAGGACAGGTAAGGCTGATTTCTTAAGATAATGGTGGGAAAAGGTTCAATACCTTCTAACGAATGTTGGCTTCCATCACATACTCCACTGGGACTTTTTCCAGCAGCTGTTTTTGTTCCCTCTGCACTAGTAGCCATTCTTGTATCTACTACCAATTGTTTATCATTTACCTTGGAAACCTACAGTCATACAGTCAAATATTACTATTTAAAAGAGAAACAACAGGCAAATATAATAGGAACATTATTTATGCTTAAATAGATTAATCAAGTCAATTAAAATAGTTGTAAAATTATCTAGATGAATTTCTCAATTGCTTCGCACCCCCAAACTAGTTGAAACCACAATGTTCTAGTATTTATAAAGTGCATGCGGTAATTTATATTTTAAAGATTAACTTAATTAGACATCTAGAAAAACATTGCCATTTGGAACTGCTAGTATGCAAGACTATCCTTAGTTTTGTGTCCTTTCCCACTATTTTTATTTATATCCACATTATAGCATAATTTTAATATTAATAGCATTTATTATTTTTATTTAATAATTTTATTTATATCCACATTATAGCTAATAATTATTATTAGCAACCTGATCTAGTTGGAGATATCCCTGTTCCTTGCAGGGGGGGTGGACTAGATGACCTTTGAAGGTCCCTTCCAGCCCTAACGATTCTATGGTTCTATGATTCTATGATTATTTTTTTTATAATCAGACTCTTATGTTTTTATCTTCCCTGACCAATCCAATAAAAATTGACCTTCCCCCCCCCACCTTTTTTGTGCAATATTGCATTAGTAAAATGTTTTCCAGAGAACTCTTGTCCTATTCTTCACTGAACAGCTGTCACTCTAATAAGCCTGTCAGTTATCATGAAATATTATCCAAAGTCTAATTTGAAAAAAATTAATGTTTCTCCCCAACTTAGAACTATCAGACACAAAACGTTCATTCTGAAACACTGGCTCTCCTGCAACTTCTTGCTGCCTGCCCCTTTACCTTGATAGGCATCTTCAGTTCATAAATAAGGCTGCAAGATCAAAGGCTTAGCTCTGTAGATTCTACAACAAATGATATTATCACTGTACTGGTGCATATCAGTCATACCTAGAGTATCACAAAAATACGTACCTGGGATTTAAGTCTGTTATGTGGCGCTCTTATGGTACAATAGTTTAGAATTCCAATCCAGAACTGCTGATTTTTTGGAAACATGCAACTACACAATCTGCCTTCTTTCAACTGAAGCAACTGAGCACTACAAAGACTTCTGGCAGTCCACATTTTCTTAAAAGTGACCTCTGGATCCAGATGATGTGGTAACCAAACTGATAGTCTCAGAAGCTCTTTTACCATGGAGTTACAAAGGAAGTACCAACAGATGAGCTTGGACACTGTAGAAGTACACAGTGGAAACTCTCTCTCTGCTAAACATAACCTGTTTAAAAACACGAAGAAGAGAAAAAAGAAAGGGGAAAATAAAAAAAAAGATTCTCTGAAAGGTAGTTGCACATCAAGGCCCTGATACTGTAACAAAGCCCTCTTCACAACCCTCTCACCTGTAGCTTTCAAGGGATCACAACCCGGAACACAGATACGTTCACAGTCCATTCATTTGACAATGACACAGTTCTAGGCAGAACTTTTGTTCAGTAACTACTGTCTCTCTCACCGGCCTCCATCTGGCACTGTGCTGTTCACTACCAACCATAAAGTCAAGCTCTCATTTCAGAAACAGGAAGGACTAAAATTGCTAGTAACGCAAAGGACAAGTGAAAAAGTTGTCCCTTGTAATTAACAACGTGAACATACTGTTCCTTCCACCTCAGCTGAAAACGTGCAAGGAGTGTTCCAGTAACTTCAAACCAACTATTCACAAAAACAAAGTGCTGATGTCAAGATCCTACCCAGTAAGAAAAACTCATGCACGCTGGCTGGTACAAGGCAAGTCTTGTAATCTTCTATGCTACAAGGGTATCGTAGGAGCTACACACACACCTCAAATGTAAGTCTGGCTTACACCTACCAGGACTTTGACCATAAAGGACAACACATGGAAATGCATGAAACGAAAACGCACTTGTTCACATGAAAAGAAAAACAGGTTACTGCCCTGAACACCAGTGCAAACAAACCCAGTGTAATTCTGTGTGGGCAAGAGGTATACTATCCACCTCGACTGTAACCCAAAGCACGTAAGCGAGTTGCAGGTTCTCTGCTCCACCTCGTGCGCCATGACATGACGTTTATAATCCAATCTGCTTTTTCCTCCCTCCACTTTGCTCAGTAAACGACTAATATAAGCAATCAAAACTGAGCTAAAACAGACAGAATTTTTGAAAGTAACAAACTTAACAAACACGGAAAGCGACGTGACAACTGAGGCGATCGCAGCATTAAGGCACTGCGCCTTTCGGACTTCCCAACGAGTGACAGAAGGGCCGTGCCCGCGCGGGCCACATCCCTCCCGACTGTAAGC